GGACAAAATGAATAATTTTGAAATTGGATAATTGACGCAAAATCCTCCTAAACTTTACCTCTAAGAACCGTGCTGCTCTGCCAAGTCGGTAAAAGACCTGGCGAATCAAATGTGTTTGGGGGGGTGGGTTATAAAACATTTGGGGGTGGGGGGTTTAATAAGGACCCACCTCATGTGAGACAACCACTCTACTAGACCTTTTACAGGCATGGTAGAGTAGATAAATCCATTACAGAATATCCTCTTATCATTTCAGATTAGTAAAAATCTCTCTAGATGACCTTTAAGTACATAGTACAATATTTTCTTTTATATTCTCAATAAAGTTTTGTGAAATGACAAATATACATTCCTCTTTAAATCAAATAAAATAAAAAGAAGTAAAAAATAAAGAATTAATTGCAAATTTTATCTTTTTTATTATTTATTTGGGATTATTTTTGTAATTAACTCTTTAATTTCTTTTTACTTTGTTTTATTTAAAGAGAAATATAAATTCTTCATTTCACAATACTTTATTGAGAAAATGAAAGAAAATGTTGCATTTCGCACTTAAAAGGACATTTAGGGGGCTTTCACAAATCTGAGATGACAGCGGTATTCCGAATTAGAGGCTAATTACCCAATTTCAAAATTATTCATTTTAACCCTTTTTAAGTGGATTTAACGGTAACATTAATATGGATGGACGACAGGGGGGCATTTTTGCACCTCAAATGTCATATATGGGGGTTTTCCACCAATTTGAAATGTTAGGGAGTTATTCCGCAATAGGGGCAAAGGTTAGGGGAGTTTTGTTTGATAACCCGGATCCATAAATACTATTCACTTATACACTACTTATCTATATTTATTTATAATATAAATTGTTTATAAATAATTCCTAAACATGCATTTTTTTTTCAAGTTGTGTCATATGTGCCTTACATGCTTAAATATGTTAGGACAAATTAAAATTTTAATAAACACTTTATATTGTCAATAAAAGTCAAATTATCAACTCTTAAAATGTAATTTGTTAGCATTTTATATTAAGAGGGTGTTTTGTAAGAGTTAAAATTAGATTTTTAGTAGATTGTGATAGAAGTTTTTGAAATGTGTGATTAAAAAGTTGTAGGATCCATGAAAGATATGGTTAATATTGATTGTTTGACTCTGACTTGAATTAAAATTAGATTTTAATCCGGACCAAACATGGGCTAAGTCTATATTGACATAGATTCTTACAAACTTATTTTTTTTCTTAAACTCATTTTAAATTACACTAATTTTCAATAAAATAATTTTACAAGTGGATCCATATACCTTTTTTTTTTTTTAACAAGACACTTCAAAAATAGTACTTTTCATAAAATTTTACAAAAAGAAAAGGTCAATATTAATTGTAAAGCATTGAATTTCCATAATTATTCAATCAGATTACTTGTACTAATTAAATATTAATATAATTAATTAAGCTAAAAGAAAAATAAACACG